GTGTTTTGACACCTGAGCATGTCGATCAGTTGATTTTCTTGAAGAAGAACCTAACAAAGAAAGCAATATCACATCTTTCAATGGACTAAACAAACATGTGACAAACTACTTTTGATTTTGCACTACATGTTGTATTATTGGCCATATTGAACAGTTCAGAGTAGACAAGGTGTAATGTTGAAATTCTCTATAAAGAGTTATATATTAAGTTATTTTTGTTATGTAGAAGAGTTAAATAACACCATACATTTATTTATAGTTCTCCGTTATTGCTCTGGTTTATTTATTTTTGCATTTGGATATGGTCAAAGTGTAATGTTTACTACATTTTTGTTTTGTAATGAAATAGTTCAGTAATGCACTTTAAAGTTGAATGGTATTACAAAAAAAAAAAAGAGTTCATTGTACTTTACTTACATGGGAAATAAAAGTTCAGTATTACAATAAGCACTTTGTATACTACAATACTCTAATTGCCTAAATAAAGAGTTTGCAGTACCTTGTTGATTGTGTATGAATTGTTATAAATCAGGATATTATATATCGATCGTGGAGCACTATATCGTGATGTATCGTGAATGAATCACAGCAGACTTTAAGATATCGGCAAATATCGTATCGTGGTTCTTTGTATCGATATGATATCGTATCGTGACAAAACTCGCGATTTACACCCCTAGTATTGATGCAAATCTACTTTTTCCGGTTTCATGATCTAGTTACAATAATACCCTTACTGTTAGTATTAGATAGCTATATGGCCTACGTGCAGGACTGTACAAGGACTCTGTTGATGACTCCATGTTTTGACTATGATATACTCGTGACTGTCTGTGTGTGACACGTATGTCTTTCAATGTGTTATTCTGTCTGAGAAAAAGAAACGATTGAAACCACTGGAACTTGAGAGAAACTTAAATAAACTGGCGCGCCAGAGTTTGGCGCACCACGATCCGTCTCTGTCTGCTTCATTCCTGACATTACTTTCTGTTCAAATGCAGCAGCAACAGCATCAGCAAAAAACAACACAACATGTTGTTGATCAGTTTGCTCAGAATATAAAAACACATGTTGCAAGAGTAGTTCCTTCATTACTTTGAACATGTTTGCACAACTGCATGGCTTAACCCCTCAGCTGCTTCCTGCCACTACACTCTCAGTCAATTATGTAATAAAACAGAGTGTGTGCATCAGGGTCAGTGGGGGAGGGGCCACAGACTCTGCATCACACAAGAAACATGCTCTTAATCCAGTAATATGTTCTTGTCAATAACATGTTATATGGGAAGTATTTGCCTCTAGTGTGTTTAGTTTTCAGAGGTCGAAGGGGGAGCAGTTGGGTCTTTTGGACAGCTCTATATAACTACTGAACCGTGTTCCAACATATTCCCCACGACACACAAGTCCTCCCGTCCATAGGCTCGCTATCAAAAAAACAATGTGTACGTCAATGCTTTGAGACACAGAAATGATGTGTACTTCTCCTCTAAAATATCAGATAACAGAATAAAGTAATCATCGGCTGATTTGAAATTCCAATGCTTAAATATTAGCAGTGGAATTCCAGGCCGTGTTGAATGAATGTAAGAAATGTTTTGGTATATCACCCCCCACTCCATCCTTGTCTGAAGTCTCCTGATGCAGTGCCCATAACCAGGCCGGGCCGGACCCAGCCCATCTTTGTCAGAGGTGTCCTGATGCAGTGCTCATAGCCAGGCCACGATTTATTGAAAAGCTCTTAAAGTGACTTATGGACTCATGGAGCTGGTCACCTCCTCCTCCAGTCTCAATCTTTTCTTCTAAAGTAGAAAGAAAACTACTCAGCAGTGGCTTATAATACTGCTGAGTAGTTTTCAGGCTGTGTTGGGTGATTATGAAAAAAATTGTAATATATTTGCTGCGGAGATGCTTCAAGACAATTAGCAAAAACAACCAGGCTCCTGCACAGTGTTTATACGTCAACGGAAAACAATGTAGTTCTAGCTCCCGGCCAGTAGTGGGCAGTGGAACTTTAAAACGACGACACGCGACCCACAGCCCCCCCCCGGCAGTATATTTGCCATTCTGCATCTAACAGTAGAAACTGAAAATGGAACTGAAACTACAGTTTCACGTGGTTTCGTTTGGACAAACAAAGGAGTAGAATCCTCCTCCATGTAGCGATCAAAGTATATGTTGCTAGTTAGTGTACCCGCCACCATTGTTGTTACATGTTCAAATGTACATGGGGGGAGTGGGGGTCATAGCAGGAAGATAATTCACACCTTTTTCTTCACACGGCTGTGAAACAGCCCCCTGCCGAGCAGTGTATCTGTTCTGTTCCACTCTGTAGGCTGTTTCTCAACACGTTTTCACCCCCCTGAAACACAGTCTTAATGTAAACGGAAGGCCAAACCGATACCCAACTCTACCGTTTTATTGTAGCAGCGCCTCTGTATAAAAGGGGCCTAAATAGTATATCACCTTCTCAACATGGATAATAATTGGTTCAGCATTGGCCATGCAAAGGGAAGAGGGATCCGTGTTTAAAAGAGCTGTCAGCTGATCAGAGCTCCAATGATGCTCTCTGACACCACAGCAGGCGTTAGATTCAGTCAGCAAAACCACACCCTGGGAAGAAGTGGTGTGTTGCTCAACAGAAGATACTACAGCATAGCAGGTAATGTGACTCAACCTGTCTGCCAAGAACAAAATGGAAACTGAGAAAATATAGTCTGTGGGGAGGATGTTGACTAACCTCAAATGCCAACTGCAAAGCACATTGCATGAAGCTTTGCAACACTGGGTGATAAGTTTTGGGAATATCCAATTACGATTGTTCAGAGATTTGCTAAATTTTTGCATAATGTATTTCTTGGTTGGAATTCTTCAAGTGCATAGTTAAAGAATGTATAACCAACTTTCAAAATGATCGCACATAATTGTGATATGGGCATTACACTTGCCATGACAATATTTTGATATATTGTGCAGCCCTATTTTTTTTGAAGAGGTTTAAACTAGAGTTAAAAGGTTTTGATATAATTCCAAAGCCAGCATAGAACCTTTTCACAGCCTCTGCAGTGGTAAACGATACAGCCTTTAGCCAAGAGGAACACAAACTCATTTTTTTTACATGAGAAAAGATTGCTGTGCAAGCTGCCCCATGTGACAGCTTAGCCATTTTTGAGGTATTCCACTCATGGATGGAGGCTGAGGCCAGTCCTATTGAGTACAAAGGAACGCATTCCTGCACCATTCTGAGCCAGGTACTAAATATATTTAAAAATATGTGTTTCTAAGTGAAATATGTTGAAAAGTAATGTTTTATTTATTTGAACTAGTCTTTCAGAAAGAGCATCTATGAAATCATGCCAAAGAGTTGAACTATGAAAGTGGAAAACAAGTTGGATCATGTTGACTGAGGGATTACGTCAACATTTAAAGTTCCTGGGATATGACACACTCATCAATGCATTCATCAAATGTGGGATGAGTCACGTCAAACTGTCCAAATAAAAAATAAGAACACAGATTCGTGCAGATATTGTATCGATTAACCTTTAAGAAAATAAATTACTCATCTACTTTTTATGCCAACAGATATGTAGTTTTAGCTGAGTAGAATAAATATATGTATGCTTTTTTTGGCCACTAAATTGCAGCATACCACATTGTACAAGACCTGCACACTGCACAAAATGAGACCACTATTCATATATATTATACTTTTATGTTCCCAGTAATAACATAACTGAATTTATAGTTATCATAAATCTGGAATACTATCAGTACAATTATGTCCAGTTTAGGTTATAGACCATCGGCTGCTTCAGACCCATTGACCATGAAAGAACAAAACATCACCATAGATCGAGAAAGACTATTATACCAAGCTGCTTAGTGATCAGTGGAAGTGTGAAGTGTGTGGAGATTATTGTAATGCAGTCCTTGATTAAAGCAGCAGTGATGCAACACGGAGCCCAAGGCCTCAGTAGCTAACACACAATATGCTGGATACAACAACTGCCCTCTTGTGCAGCCCAATGCCATAGCCTCTTGACAACAGTTTCACTTTGCCTTAAGGCAGCAATAAAAACAAGAAAATAATAACACAAACAAGAAGATCTCACTGCAAATGCTATACATTTCTATTAATTATTAATAATCATTCAACAGTTTTGTACATCATTAGTTAACACATGTAAGATTTGTTTGGCCTCTATCACAGATTTGAATCACGTCCTCATACTACCAATCAGCCCAAAGAGTCATACAGTGACTTGCAGAGCTCATTCTTACAAGTTTGCGACTGGATATTATGGTCTGACTTGTTCACAATCTTTCTGGTGATATACACAAATGGTTTATTCAACAATAAGTCAGGTAACCCAGCAATATGAAGGTATACGCAGGCTGCATGCCTCACTACCACTACCCAGCGTTTTCCTATCTTAGAAGTAATCATTTTTGGATGTCCAGGCGAGCTTTTTACAGCTGTACAAATCGATTAAAAGCTCTTTATGCCATATGCCCCTGCCTGTAAACCACTCTGGACATCCTGATGAGCTAGTAATCAGCACGTGACGCATCGCATATGTAGGATCCTCTCCTATCAATACAGCAAATAATAATAATATTGTGTGGGAGAGAGGGACCAGTGGACATTCGCCAGTAGCAGTGAGCAGCGTGATTGCAGCGTATAGTGCGGAGGTGGAGGGGGCGAGATCGGGACTGAAATACAGTGACAGCGGTGACAGAGACGCGACGCAATAACAGTAGTTTTTACGCACGGTCACCACGAGCCAGCAAAACAGCGGGGAGCGCCAAGAACCAATTCCTAGCGCGTTTTTTTTCCCTGGGCAAATGTGACAGGCGAAAGTGCAGTTGTGAACAAGTCGACGTGAGTAGCTATAGAGCCATAATATACATTCGAATTAGAATACAACGCTGTGGGCTTGGCTAGATCAAAGAACAAGCGCTTATTTATGTCCACATTTGAGTTTGTACACAGCACATACCCGTGTCTGACAAGTCAAAATGCATCCAAAGCGAAGCCCCGTACTAGATGTGCCAAACTGTCAATATCTTCCTCTCTCTCGACGTCAACAAACGCAGCCTCTGGTGGTCGTGCCTCCGTTGCCTTGGTCACAACAAAGCGTCCGTAAAATAATAAATTAATAAATCAAATGGGGAGGGGGGGTTAAACCACAGAAGAATACGTGTGACGACGTTCGCTTCCTGCTTTAGGTACTAGGGATGGTGGTGTTTGTGAAGGGGTGGGGCGGAGAGCACAGAAGACGCCGCACGCGCTCACGGTATCGCCTCGTGCTCTGCTGTGTTGGCAATATTATTTACATTTTTCTGATTCAATTCAATTCAGTGTATTCTTGTATAGCCCAAATCACAACAGCTGAATACGCCAACACAGATCAAAGAATCAAACAGTTCAAACACAAGAAATAAAACAGAAAACACATTGGTATTGGTCCATAAGGGGCAGTTGACAAAAGTCCATGAGGCATGAGCGTGAATAAATGTCCATGAATGTTGTTGAATAATATTACCACCAATCTTACGAGGTTAGTGCAGTAATTTGTCAGAATTCCCCCGCCCAGAAGCTGCAGAGAGGCCGCAAACACAGCCCTTCGTTCTGCAGGTCCTTTTAGTTCAACAAGAGACAAAAACCAATGTTAAAACAGTGATAGAAATGACAGATACCAAACCTGATTTCAAAAAGGTTATATTGAAGATTTTGCAAGCAATATTACAAGATAACGGTCCGCGAACAGATCTCGCTTCGCGTTCAGATAAGGAGTGGCCCCCGGGGACGTCTCACTGCTCCTTGTCAGACGAAAAAGCAAAAAGTCTCCGTGCCTCCTCCTGTACATCTTTTATACTGTACACCCAAGGTCACTGACATCACAGATTCGTGGACTCTATGACTTCTTCTGGCCAGCTGCCAAAGCCTGCACCTGCTCTGATAACCGCAGTTGTTTTTCTCTTGTCCCCCTCCCATTCTCACACAGACTAACCTTGAACTCACTGCTCTTTGAGATTTACACAAACAAGTGCTAATTTGGCAATAGAAACAATACTAAACTGTTTTTAGTTTTAACTGGTGCAAGAGTTAATATTCCAACAGTCCCCCTGTTGGCCGGAGAGGAACTCTTCGGACATCCATCACTCTCGTCTCAGATGGCCCATCTTCATCAGTTGATCCAGCATTACATCCTATACTCAGTCTAATCCCAGTCTTCACGACGATCTGTGAACTCCTAAACCACCCCATGTGACATTATGAAAAATGTGGTGGTCTTCCACTCAGCCCTTACTTCAGACCCGCCCCAAAGGCCTCTGGGCGGACTGAGCATCCAACTCACCCTAAACTACATACATTGAAGTGATCCTATAAAACAATCTATATGTGGGTGTGCTGCGGTGTCTAGTCTGTGTAACAAAAACAATAGTTGCAAGAGCTGTGGAGAAAGAATATGTTTGTGTCGTGCATCAATTTGAATTATGTAATTTTTTATTTTAATTTTTAATTTTTATAATTTTTTATCGCATCCCCGATTTTCCCAAGTCCCTCTTACAATTTTGCAAGGTTATGTGCGTTATTTACATGCAAGCAGTTATACATTTTTGATTAAAATATTTTGATAATATCATAAAGCATACTCACAACTCCTCTGGTGATACTCTGACAATATCACAGGCCATACTCACCCGTTCTTCTGATGATTGTCCTTTATGGCTTAGGCTATGGTCATCAATTCTTCTGGTTCCCACTGTAGGTCCTGGGTTAGTAGCAGTTGTCTTTCTGCCACCTTCCCTTCCACAGCGGCTGTTATCACTCTGTTACATAAGGATCGTATGCACGGAATACTACCAGAAATCCCCAACAAAACCATAGAGGTTTCTTCCCTGATCTGTCTCTTAGGTCCAATGACTCACCTCTCAAGTCCACTGTAATTGTAAGACATGGTACACTTCCCTGCATAATCCCCTTTGTCATGGAAATTATTTTAGAATGGTGTCTTGCAAACTCTGTAGTTGGTGTTGGTGTCCAATCTAATCCAGTATATGCCACCATTGTCCCCCATGATTTATCTCTCATGTCATTTGTCATGTACCATTCATAATCTGAATTTTCTGCTCCCACTTTTTTCCCTTTGTTTACTAATGCTATAAAAGGTACCTGGAATGCCATATGTTCTCCCTTTGCTAAACACAATTGCACCCCAAATAGGTATTGTCGCTTTTTTGCACATGCTCCCAGTTTATCCAATTCCCTTTTTGGTCTTATTTTTATCCCTGTCCCCTTTGTAGGTTGAATTTTGCGTTCTTTCATCTGTTTGCCGGGTGAAATGTCTGAATAATCAGAAATTGAGGAATTGACACCAAGAGTTTTCTCCTTACCATAGACAGTTGTTGGTTTTGCATACCCCTGGCCTAACTCTGTTTCCCAGGCCCACATAAAAAATCCAGCTATAATCCCTATACCTACCACCATACTCACCCACTCTCGTGTCCTCAACCCTAAGAGTGTCCATGGTCCTATCATGTTGAGAGTACCTGCATGGTGAACACCTCAGTCTTAAAGTCTATCCCATGCATACCAGATTAGTGTTTTCAGCTTTGATTTGCTCAATTGCTCATCTAAATAGTTGATTCTGGATCATGAATATTTTTTTTTTTTTTTTTTTTATATATTCAATCAATAATTATAAAAATAATATTAATAATCAATCAATAAAAATAATCAATAATCAATCTTCCCCCTGTTTTATCACAATCCTGTGATAAATTAAACATCCCTTATAGGCCAATTTGTCACCCCACCATTATCACTTATGTCGGATCCAAACCACGTCAGTTAAATGCACAGTCCCCTTGATCAGCCCAATCCATAAAGTCAGAGAAATTGCCAAATTCTTCAATAACCTGAAGTCCATCGACCATAATTTCAAACCCCTGAATCCCAAAATCTAAAATGGCAATATCCTGATATTCAACATCCTGAACCTCATCGCCCTGACCTTCAACAACCCAATCTCCAATGTCCAGGACCTCAAAACCCTGTCCTCCACCATCTCTAATGTCAAAATCCTGATATCCAGACTCCTGAACCTCAGGGGCCAGAACCTCAACCTCCCAATCTCCAAAGTCTGGAAGTCCAGAGCCCCAAAGTCCAAAATCCTCAACTCCCAACAGTTCCAGAAGGTCTCTCATACTATTGTCATCACTAGTCCCTATGCCATCAGACACTTGCATCACAGGGCTATCTGGAGGGACTCTATAGGTGCATTATAGGGTTGCTCCGCACTCCCTAGAACTCCCCATGTTCTAACTAATAGAGTCAGACACTTCCCTCTCTGTCCCCCTGTCGGCCTCCTTTTCTGATGATGTAGTGATATCTTTCATTACATCAAGCAGGGATCTTTCTGGTGCACTAGTGGGCCTAGTGTGTGATATGTGCACAAAGGATGACTCTGTAGTTTGTGAGTCGTCTAAGTAATATTTCAAAGTATACTCGTATAGTTTGGAGATTTTAAATGGGCCTTTCCAAGTTAGCTGATCCCAACAATGTTTCTGGTTTTTCACATAAATGTAGCCTCCAACTGTAAGTTTGTCTTTTACAGCCTGCAAAGGGGGCTCTGGAGATTTCTGGGTCAGCGTGACAATGTTATCTTGCAGAAACTTCACTGTAGTGACCAATGTTTTCATATAAGTTTCCCTAGCATCATCAGTGGCTGCTGGAGGTGGGAGCTCCAGTGAACGAGATAAGTTACTGGGCATGTGTCTCCCATACATTAGTTGAAATGGTGACATAAAAATTGGCCTGCTTGGTTCTCCTCTTATTGCCATCAAGGCTATAGGCAGTGCCTGTTTCCAATTCATTTTTCCAGACCTACACATGTGTGCCAATCTGTTTTTCAGTGTCTGGTTGAACCTTTCAATCACCCCTTGTGATTGCGGGTGCAACACTGCTCCAAAATGCTGTTTTATATTCAGCCTCTCACATAGTTGAGCCATTGTCTGGTTTTTAAAATGCGAGCCGTTATCGGATCTGATAACTCTCGCTGGGCCGTACCTTGGAAAGATCTCTGTCAAGAATACTTTGGCTACTGATTCTGCATTTGCTTTTGCCAAAGGAAAAGCTTCAGGCCATCGTGTGAGTGGGTCAATCATTGTGAGCACGTATCTACACCCATCCGCTTTCTTATCAGCAGTCATGTCGATGAAATCAATTACGATTTCTGCCATGGGCCATGGAGGCACTGGGTATGCTCCTATGCCTGCCTTCACAGCCCTTGCCTTAGAGAGCCCTTGACATATGTCACATGAGTCACATAGATGCTGAATGGTTGGTAGCATAAAAGGATGGAACATGTGCCGTCTTAGTTCTGAAAAAAGTTTTGAGCACTTTATGTGTGTTTCCTCATGCTTACTTTGAATGATCTGTAGTAGTTTTTTTAGTAGTCACGCACGGTTTACCAAATGTATCATAGAATACTCCTTCACTGTTTTTAATGGCCCCTGCAGTTTTCCATGCTGTCACATCATACAGTGAGGGATTTTCTTGCAATATGTGTGGACTGTTCTCTTCTCTTTCTTCAACTGGTGCCTCTGTTCCCTCAGGATTGTCTTCAATAACTCCCTGCAGAGCCGTACCTATCCTGTCATACCCAGCTGTCATTTTAGCAACTCTATCAGCAAACTCATTGCCCTTTGCCACGAAGTCTCTGGCTCGAGTATGTGCTCTGCACTTGACCAATGCAGTTTTGTGACGTACATTCTTGATTTGATCTGCCACCTTCTGCCATAATTCCAAATGTGTAGGTCTCAAATTTTTTGTTGTGATGAAATTGTCATGCAATACCCAGATTGGCAAGTGCAAATGCACTGTAGAATGCACATACTCAGAGTCAGTATATATTGTGATAGGTCCTTCTGGCCTGTTCTCCAAAGCCAGGCTAAATGCTTCTAATTCTGCATACTGAGCTGACTTCCCTGCCAGCGCCTCTGCCTTCAGTATGTTA